CGGATGCCTGTTATGTTCTTCCTATCCTAAAGGGGAAATGATATAACTGTGTGATAGCTACCCCCTCCTGCATAAGGAGGACACTGAACCACAAAAAGGAAAGGCACACTGAGCATGCTGCATCTGCCTCACTTTAGATCTCGTAAAGTATCATATCTGCTTAAGTCCCATCTCTACCTCCCACCCCAATTAGAAAGGTTGCAGGTGGCCCCCAAATGTCTGCTTTGCCACACCCATATCAAAACCTCTATTTGGAATTGCCCTGAAGATTCCTGCAGCCTCTTATCAGTCAAGCAGGCCTAATCTCCATCAAGACGTGCCCCAGGCTGCAGCTAAGGAAGCTCCAGAATGCAGAACTGCTTGATGCCCAAAGTGAAACTGACCGGCGGCTTGGATATGCCACTGTGGTTGAACATCAACTGTCTGACACCCCTTTGGAATTCACAAATGGTAAATATCATATTGTGCACAGGAAGCCAAGGAATCTGTGTAAGAGGGCCGAATGAACTGTGTCAGAATGTGGCCTTAGTTACCAGCAACAGAGTGCACATTCTGGCCCTACACAGACTACAAACGCAGGCAAATGAATTGCAGCAGCAACTCTGCTAAGCAAAAATAAATAAATAAATACAGAGAAGATAAATGAGAGGAGGCTATAGGCTGTGCAACATCAGAGGAAAGCCAGATCCTTCTTCAAGATGCCATTTGCTTGCTCAGAGTAACCTGAGATACCCCAGGACTCCCTGGCTTGAACAAGCAGATGAGGTTACATGGAAATAATCCACATTCTACTTCATGCATGCCCTGCCTGGTCCGGATGGATGTCAGAGTCCTGGAAAGGATCCATGTTTATTTCTGGAAACACCAAGGATGAACAAAACTGGTCCCAACAAGTGTGTTCCGGGCTTTCCCAAACCTCAAGCCTTCAAGGCCACACCTAGAGCAGTGGGACCTGGATTCCAGTGGGCTGTGAATCCAATCAAAGACATCACCTACACTCTTAGTCAAACCATCTTTGGGGAGATGGACCCACTGGTCCCCTTTCCCATAGCCCTCAGGAAGGGCTGAACCAAGGACACATCAAAGCACTGCACACTGTAAGTCACTGAGTGCAAGGATCATTTGCACGCCATGACCAAAGCTTTCTTGCACATCGAGCTAGTCTTGCCCAGCAGTTACTTCCCCAGCAGCATCCCCAGTTATCTTGTAAACGCAGCAAGTGGCCCAACCTAGACTTAAGCTGAGTTCTCCATTTCAAAAGGAATTGGATTTTTTTTGTCTTAAAATTGTCCCATGAGACATGATATACACAAAGCCCAGGCCCTTTCCATCAGGGCAGAAGGTATAAATGATATCCCTGGCACATGCCTAGGTTGCTACACTAGGCTGAGAATGAAATTATTCTAAATCCTGCTAGCTAAAAATCAATTACTATAGAATACGCTTTTAAAGAATCTATTAACTACAAAGAAAACAATACTGATATGCCTATATGGGTTGCCACATCACTGTCCTTAAAGGAATTAGGAAAAATAATCATAGTAACCTGGTCCCTGTTCACATTCAAAGAGGTACGTAATTGCCCACACTCTCCTGGAAATGCCCATGAAGGGATAAAAGAGGTTTTGAGGTTTTTGTTTTGGTTTTTTGTTTTTAATTTGTGTGTTTGGAGATAGGGTCTATGTAGCTCATAATCCTCCTGCCTCAGTTTCCCAAGTTCTTGAATTACAGGTCTCTACCACTACATCACAGTCTTAAGATAAAAATTCTCCTTAGAAGAATTATCTTGTGTCTCCAGGGCACAAATTATACTTACTGGAATTCATTGGGAAAAATCTATGCTTCTACAGAACTCATACTGGCCAAGGGTTAAGAACCCATGACTGGATTGGGAGATTCTAGTTAGCAGTGGTGTTCAGACAGACCTGAATAGGAGCCAGAGACCAAAACACTACACCCATGAGTGATGCCAAATGTTTGCAATCAATCGAGAAAAACGCATTGCAAGAAGAACTAGGCTTTTTCAAATGGCAGTTGCAACTACTGGTACAACACACTCTGTACACCTGGAGCTGGAGGAGATGGACACTAACTGCCTTGAAAACACACAGAAACATGAGTAGGATCATTCATGATGAAAGATAAACCCAAACAGGGGGCTGACCATGCCTGCAGACAAAGCTTCTTGGCTTGGTGACTGAGGAGAATTCACTTGCTTTGGAGCCAATTCAGAGCATGAATGGGGTCACTTTGAGTTGCCATATAACATCTAGTGCCGGCCAGGAATTCACCCCTGAGTCCTAATCCTTTCCCCATCATCTGCTCCCCAAGCTAAAACAAAGAAGTACAAGAGTGAGAGAGTCTCAGTAAGATGGCTCAGTGGGTAAAGATGCTTGCTGCTAAGTTTGAGATTCTGAGGTCAGTCTCTAGGACCCACATAAGGGGAAGAGAGAACCAACTCCCCTAAAGTTGTCTTCAGACCTCCATGTGTGCCATGGCACAAGCACTATGGAACACTCACCATGACACACATATATGTACACACAGTAAATAAAGTAAAAACAAAATACCTTTTTTTTTTAAATGGAGAGGAAACCTCCATTTCTCAGCACAGGCACTACACACACACACACACACACACACACACACACACACACACATGTTTTAAGCCCTCCAAGCGAAAAGCACTCCAGTGCCAGGTTCTGGTGCCACAGGGAGCATCAGAGCCACATTGGGGGTCACCTGGCTGATTTCCTTTTGGCTTCAGAGATCATCCTCTTGACCTAGGAGAGGTATGCATATGGATCAGCCAATGGATGGCATTCTTCCTTATGCCCTACCAAGCCCTGCCCACAGAGGACGCCAGCGGGAGACTGCATGGTTAGAGGAGGAGAAGGAACTCACTGGCTGCTTCCTGCCTCTTCCTACTGTCCCTTTCCACCTCTGGCAGCTTCCCCTCTGATCCCTTTCTGTCAGCCAGGCAGTGGCAATGCCTTCCAGCATTTGAATCTAATTTTCGAATTTTCTGACACTCACTAACCCAGCCTCACAGATGTCTTTCACTGATACTAGGGTGACAGAGACCCCTTCTCAGAGGTGGGGATAGGAGCCTGCAGGGGTTCTCCTCAGCACTGAGTCAGCAATACAAGCTGGGCAGAACCCACTCCCCCACATCAGAAAGTCTGAGGTTCACGGCACATCTCCCTTCTGTAGGCATCTAACTCCCAATAACTCCAGGGACAATGCCAGTTCCCACAGGGGCTACCTCTGTTGTTGATAACTGAATTTTAATGCCTTTCTGCCCTCTTTAGTCACCTGGTTGAATGATGTCACTGCTCTGGTTTCTGTCTGCTGTCTGGATGTGGACAAACATACCTTCAGTCAGGCCTTCAGCAGCTACAGCTGCCCCACCTCAACAAACTCCAGTGCTGGGATTGGTGTCTGCCCACCCACCAACAGCCCACTTTCTGATAAGGTCTCTGTCTGCCAACCTATGTATAAACAGGAACAGGCGCAAGTTTCAAGGACCCACGGTGTAATTTGTAGCAAATGGTGTGAAACTGTTGTACATTCTCAGGGGGTGGCTGCAGGGACCTTTGCATGCATCTCCTGGCTGGACTGTAGCAAGCCATAGGGGAGCTTCCACATCACAGGCCTCCTGGAGAAAATAATCTTGTTGTAGTTTGATGTGGGACCCTCTCTGACTTCCAATTGTGATTGTGTAGGTTCTAGGATTATGGGAGCAATGTTTGTTGCAGAGTAAAGTTCCCGTGTGGATAGCCTGGCGTCTGACGGGGCATCCTTCACGATTTCTGAGGACTTGGATGACTTCTTCCTTTTCAGCTGCATGTAATTAGGTTTGCTCAGTCTCTTTGGCTTCTGGTTTTCCTCAGCAGCATGCATGCACTCCAGCTCTCGGACTCGGCTTTTGTCAATGAGTCTCTTCACTGCCGGCGAAGTATATGTGACATAGGCTGGCCAAGGTTCGTGATTTTCAAGCAGTTTCAGAGGGAGTCCGATGTTTTCTGTGAGTTCCACTAGAAAACAAACAAACAAACAAACAAACAAAACCCAGTGGTTTAGGAGTGTTTGCATGCTCAGTAATTCATTTCATCAAAGAACTCCAGGGATTGGGGACCACAAGTCTCGCCCCCCCCCTTTATCTAGTGGGAGTAAAACCCAATCTAAAGATAATAAATAGAATGATATTCTACAGACTACATCGATTAAAGAACAGCAGAATACTACTAAAGAGAGAGACTTGCATTGAGCAAACTTGCTTTCGAATGCTTTTATCCAATTGTTGGTTTAAGCCCTAAATTCTATTGTCCTCAACTAACTGCTTAGAGATCTGTTGCAAACTGTAATATAGTGACCCATGAGTGTTCACAGAGGTTCATCCCAGGGCCCCCCATAGTGACCAAACTCCATATGTGTTTAAGTTCCTTATTAAAAAATTCTGTGTAATGGACATGGAAGTACAGACTTGTGAAATCAATACTCAGGAGATTGACGCAGGTGGATCACGAGTTTGAGGACAGACTGAGCTACATAGACAGACTATCTTTAATTTTTTTCAGTAGGAAAAAAAAGATGCAGTATTTTCACAGAACCTAAGTAGTCCTTCTTTGTGCTTTGAAATTACCTCTAGAAAACAAAATACTAACACAATCAATGCTGGATGAGTGGCTATTACACTGTATTGTGTAAAAGACAATGTTTTGGATGTACCATTAATTGAGATGCCTACCATCAATATGAGATGGATATGTTTGTTACAGTTTGGAAGAATATAGCTTAGAGGTCTAGAGTTTGCTGAGAGGATGCTCACCTCGAATGCATGAGGTCAATATTTAAGACCAGCACTACTAAAAAGAGAAGTGTTAGCTGGGTGTGGCAGATTACACCTCTAACCCCTGAACTTAGTGGAG